AAATATTGAACACTGATTCACTCTTCAGACCACATACAAAAGCTAACTCAAGATGACTTTCAGACCTAAAAATAACTTAAAGCTATAAAGATCACAGAAGAAAACAGGATGATACCATTATGACCTCAGGAGAAACAAAGTTTCTTAGGCAAAAATCAAAAGTGCCAACCACATTTTAAAAGATAAGATAAATCAGACCCTCTCAAAACTAAAAATTTCTGTTCAAAAGGCACCACTAAAAGAAAATACATGGCCAGGCGGGTGCGATGGTGCATGCCTATAATCCCAACACTCAGGAGGCTGATGCAGCCTGAGGTACACAGTGAGTTCAAGACTAGCCCGGACTACATAGCGAGACCCTGTATCAAAAACAAAAATGAAAGAAAGAAAAGAAAAAGAACAATCCACAGAGAAAATATTAGCAATCCTTATACCTGACAAAAGACTTGAATCCAAACACACACACACACACACACATACACACACACACACTTATATAATATGTAAAAAGAATATATCATACAAGTCAATAATAAAAAGTACACCCAATAAAATACAGGAAGAGTCTTGAAAAAACATCACAAAAACAGCATATACAAATGGCCAATAAACTTTTAAAGATGTCATTATTAGGGCTGGGGATTTAGCTCAGCGGCACAGCGTCTGCCCGGCAAGCACAAGATCCTGAGTGTGATGCCCGGTACCGGGGGGGGGGGGGGGGGATGTCATTATTAGTATGTATTGGAAATGTAAATTCAAATCACAATGACACACAGTACTACTGTATGCTCACTAATCACTAAAATGACAGATGATAACACCAAATGTTGGAAAAACGTGAACAACTGAAACACATAAACTGCTGCTGAGAGCATAAAATGGTACAACTCGGGTAGGAAAATATTTAGCAGCTTCTTACAATGTATCTGTGTGCTTACCCATGACCCAGCACTGTGATTTCAAGGCAGTCACCCAAGAGGAGTGAAAACACCACACTCAGAGGGCACAGGAGGCTGGAGAGGAGGGTGTTAGGCCCCTTGCCCAGAATGTGTGGGCACTCACTGGGTCTGAGCCCTAGTACCACAAGTAAAAAAAATTAAGTACGTATGTATTGTCATCATAGCTTTATTCAAAGAGCAAAAATGTGAAAACAATCAAAACGTTCATCAACACAAGAATGGGTAAGCAAACAGTGGTATTTTCAAACAAAAGAACACTGTTCAGTAATGTCTTGGTTACTTTTCTCTCGTTGCTGAGACAAAATGCGTGATGCCCACAATTAAGGAAGGAAAGGTTTATTTAGTTCAGTTTGTGGAGGCCTCAGTCCATACTCAGCGGGCTCCAAGGCAGGGTGGCACATGGCAGAGGAGCAACCTTTCATGGCGGCAAAAGACAGCAAAAGCAACAGGAGCAAAAAGAGGAGAGAGCAAGCCTCTTTTCCTTCCTCATATTGTAAGCACCCTACCAGTACTTGGGTGGGTGCAGCACTCATGCCATCTCTGTGCCCTCCTCTTGCACAGAGTCAGAATGTTTACAAATTCTGGACCCTGGCCCCCCGCTGAGTCACTTAGTTAAACTTCTAAACTTCTCAAATTGACACAATGAACAACATCCTAGAGCCTATGGGCATGCCCTCTACATCCTAGAAGTAGAACTGCTGAGTTAGTTAAGCTTCTAGATTTCTTAAGTTGACAGAATGTATCAACCATTACAAATGATAATAAGGAACATGCTACTGACAGCACACACCATCATGAGTCTTCAAACCAGGCTCAACAAGTTTCAGTAACAAATTCTGATTAAAAGTTTGCAGATGGGTGTCAGGAATGAGCAAGGAGGTGTAGAGAAGACAGAATGGAAAATGATATTCTAGGGTTATGATGATGCTCTACCTCTTTAGTGGAGTCTTGGTTACACAGGCGTGCTTATCCGTCACAATATATCCAATTTTGCCTTTCAGATATGTGCAGCTTATTAATAATACCCTAGTGTTTTTTAGAAGTTTCCACACAGTAAGTGGCTTGCTGTCTTCAGTGCTAGAGATGGAACCAGGACCTTGTGCATACAGGGTAAGTGCTCCACTGATCTACATCCCAGCCCCAACAGTTAAGTTTCTTGATGGTGGGTGGCTTCACAGACGTGTGCTTTACTCCACACTCATAGGGACATATGCACTAAACATGAAGTCTTACTTTAGGAAAGTGGTTTCTAAATTTTAAAAATAGTTAAATTTCTAGGTTAGCCTACACAGTGATGACCACAACACAACTAACGCTGTAATTATGCCACAGTTTCTATGAAATGACATTCTGTACTTCACAGACTTTTTTTGGGTACCAGGAATCGAACTCAGGACTTGAGCTTGCCAAGCAGGCACTTTGCCACTGAGTACATCCCTGGCCCGACATTCTGTACTTCAAAAACAAGTCTAATAAAAAGTCTAATATATACTAACATTGTCCTTGCTCTCCCGAATTCCTCTAGCGCAGTTCAGTGCAACAGATGTGTTGTTCCTTCATCCATCTATCGAACATTCGCTGAGAACCATCAGTGAGCAGTCCCTCGTGCAAACAGACTCACAGACTCACTCACTCTGCAGACGTGGGGCCTGCTGTCCCACAGCAGCCTCTTCCACCCCGCTGAGACGCCGAGCTGCCCCACCACAGACGGCAGAGAAGCCAGGGTGGCGGTCCCCCACTCCCACGACAGGGAGGTGTCAGGTGCTTCGCCTGCTCCGGTGTGCTCTGCGGGTGTGAACAGACGTCACGTGCAGAGGGACCACAGCAGAGAAACCCCAAAAAGACAGAAAAGCGTCTTGAATGTGTATTCTATTTTCAGTGCACCTACAGAGGAGCAGTCCTCTCTCAAGCAGTGAAGAGGATGAAAATACAGTATGCATGGAAATCTGCCTGACAACTGCTATATGTGGATCTTCTCTGTCCCCAAAGGTCCCGGTGCGAAGGGCCTGGTCCCCAGTGCAACGCAGTGCCACCGGAGCACATCAGGAGAGGGGCCTTGGGCTCCCTTCAGGCTCTGGGCCACGCCCCTGAAGAGACACTGGCCCCGCTCTCCTCCTCCTCCTCTCTTCTGGTTCCCAGTCGGAGGTTAGTGCTTCTGCCTTGGCCATGGACAACAACACAATGTGCCGCTGTGCTCGGAGCATGAGACCCACTAAACACGGAGCGGGAGCTCTAAGACCGGAAGCCCAAAGGAGCCTTCTCCCTCTATAAACTGATATCTCAGTAACTGTTACAGTGAAGGAAAGCTAACAGTAATATATATGTATAGTTTGTTAAAAAAATCACGTTTCCTCCGGGCATGGTGGCACACGCCTGTAATCCCAGCACTTGGGAGGCTGAGGCAGGAAGATCGATGTGAGTTCGAGACCAGCCCGGGCTACAAAGTGAGCTCAAGGCCAGCCTGAACTGCATAGCGAGACCCTGTCTCAAAAAGACAAAAAAACAAAAACAAAAACAATCACGTTTCCAAGGAGCTATACAAAAGAAATAATCAACATTCAAAGACTCATATACAAGAATAGCAAAGAAATTGGAAACAGCCATAGGCCTTTTGAAAGGAAAACGTTCATGTAGCCATTCCAAAGAATCTTTAACAACAGGGTGTGGGCATGGTGTGCTCAGAACAGACAAAAGCACAATTCCAGGACAAAAAGTAGGCTCACAGCACGGGTCCAATGTGTCCTGTCTCATTTCTAAACGCAAATGACCCAGAGACGGGCCACTTCCCTGCAATGCATGGGTCTTAACTAGATCCCCATTCTAAAAGCTAAACTGATTACAACTTCTGAGATCAGACAAGGCCAGCACAGCAGGGTCGACCCCCAGGACCGTGACCAAAGCATGAAGGTACCACATCACGGTCTTCAGTAACAGCAGCCTCCTCTATCACCTCTCCTAATGGAAACAGCATCAAGTACGCCAGAGACAAGCTGCAAAGCCACCCCAGCCCTCCTACCTCTCACTGGCTCTCAACCCGTTCTTTACCCATGGTCTTTTCTGAATGTTAAAGATCAGATAGAGTTACTGATTTTCAGATCTAGCAAGAATTCCACTACCTAGTAGAGGCTAAAGTAAATGAGGTCAGCTCTGACAATTTAAAGACAGTTTTGATATCCTTCCATAAAATACAAAGTCTGGCTTCCCCATGTGCAAGCACACACACACACATGCACACACTACTGAGTGTCTACCACATGCCTCTCCACGGACAGAACATGTGGCCCGCTTTTTAGGAGCTGAGATCCAGGGGAAATGCGAACAAGGAGACAAGCTATCATCTACAGGTGTCAGGAGAAGGTGCCGAGGAAGCACACAGAGAGGACAGCAACCCCATCTGCCAGGAAGGTTCACAGAAGTGACGAGAACATCCGGCCCAGTCTCCATCTCCGGGGGGCGGGGTGCATACCTACTGTGCGCCTGAGCATCAGGAAGTGACTGAGCGTCAGGGAGTGACGTGAAAGGCGGGAGAAAGCACAGGTCCTCCCAGACTCCGACTCGCCCCACCGCCACTGAATCGCCGGGCAGCTAGAAATGCACCCCAGCTCACACCTGCCCAAGACAACCCACTCCTCCTTCAGGGTGCCAGCGTACACAGGACTGCACTCTGGGTGCTGCCCCTCTCGGGGAGCACACTATGAAAGCCAAGGAATTTTTCTCACTTTGGTAAGATGTACACAAAGTTTACCGCTGTACAACGCACAGCTCAGCGGCACTAAGAGCATTCACGCTGTCGTGCACCCGCCGCCCTCTCCAGGGCTGTGCGGACTGGCCAGGCCACACTGCAGCGGGGGCGCCCCCGTAACCACTGTGCGAACCCGGCGACTTCAGGGTCTCATCTAAGTGGGGTCAGACACCGTTCACCAGCTTACTGTAAGGAGCACCGCCCCGGGAAGTTCATCCATGCTGTAATGTGTGCTGCAACCTTCTTCCTTTCTAAGGCTAAATAACGCTCCTCTGTACAGACAGACCCGTTTCACTCACCCATCTGCAGGGCTGCAGTCCGCCTCTAGGATGTTCCCCAAAGGTGCAACGTGAGGACAGCGTGGCGCGGCCTGCGGCACTGTTGGGAATGGTAGGATCTTTAGGAGGGGGCCGATGGGATGTCCTAGGTCACGGCTGTCGGAAGGATGAGGGGACTCTTGTCCCTCTCCTCTCCCTCTCCCACTTCCCAGCTTCCTCCACAGTGCGCTCCCACATGCTCCTTCCACGGCACGCTGCCTCTCCACAGCCCCACACCTCCATGCTGTGAGCAAAAACAAACCTTTCTGCTCCTGAGCTGACCTCACGGATCCTTACGGTAACAAACGGCTGACGGACACCCCATCAGCTGAGGGGCGCTCAGTCACTCTCTCTTCCCCGTCTTCCATAATGCTGCTGACAGTAGATGTACAAATACCCCGAGTCCCGTCTCACCTCCTCTGGGCAATCCAGGAAGTGGAACTGCTGGATCAAACAGTATCCCGTGCTCGTATTTTGAGGAACAAGCGTGCCGTTTCCATAGCGGCTGCATCATTTCACATCTCCAGCAGCAGCGCACCGTGTTCAATTTGCCCACATCCTAAGCAGCACTTTTTTATGTCTTTCTGACAAGTGCCATCCTGAGGGATCTGAGACAGTATTTTGTTGCAGTTTCAATAAAAGGGATTTTTTAAAGATCAGCCGGTTGGTCCTGGTCTAGACCATCACTCTCCAAGTTAATTACCTAGTAAAAGCCTCCCCAAGTTCCTGAGCGCACAACGCCGCTGAAATTGTCTTGGGACACCTGTTCCAGGCAGCCACACCACCTCCTTGATGATCTGTCCCCCTGCGCAGCCCGGCTCCCGTCCACGCTCCCGGCAAGCAACCCCTGCCCTGCCTGTTATAAACCGGCTGTCACAGGAGAAGTCACCGATGCTAAGGTGAAACTGTTCTCATCAGGCCTCAAGAGACCTACAGCTGGGAAGGATGCCGGCCGGCCAGCCTGCCTCCCTCCACGAGACAAGCACAATACTACACGCTGTGAAGCTCCACCAGGGTCCTCCTAGCTCTGCCAGAACCTCACGTGTCACGTGCCCTCCTCACAGACACACATAATGAAGTTGAACACCCTGTAGGACTGCGGTGATTCAGAGGATGCTCTGCACAGGACGCCCGCAGCAAGACACCTCTGCCAGCAAGCTGGTCCCGGCAGCCTCAGGCCTCCGAGGCCAGCAACTCAGTATCCAGAGCGTGTGTGATCTCTTCTTTCTTTGCCTTCGAAAACTGCCTCTGGCTCCATCTCCTTGAGCCTGCCCAGAATTCACTAAGGCCTGTATGCTCCTGTTCCAACACTAATACTCTCACACAAAGACTGTTCTTCTCTGGAGATACTGAGTATTCAGGTCATGTTTTGGTTGGAATTTTAAAGGTCCCCTGAAGACCCATATGCTGACCGGTCACTAGCTCGTGGTACTCTCGGGAGGACACAGCGTCTAGCGGGAGAAGTGAGGTCCTGGGGGAGGCCCTCTCAGGGAACCGCAGGCCCCGCCCCTCCTTTTTTGCTGCCCTCCCACCACTGTGAGGTGAGCAGCCTCCTCTGCTGTACGCCCCACATTATGGTGCATGCTGGTGCCACAAGCCAAAGCAACAGGGTAGGCGAACACGGACCATCCACTCTTAAACTGCACGCCAAAGTAGACTTTTCCTCCTTTTAATATGTTTATCTCAGGTTCTCTCCACAGTAACGAAAAGCTGACAAACATGGGGGGAGCGCATGTACCCCACCATGGTTACTCTTCTTTCAGGGACTGCAACACAGCCTCATACTCTACAGCCACAGATCCCAACACCGCATACGAGAAACAGCATTCACTTTAAAAAATGCATCAGAGCTCAGTCTGGTGGTGTACACCTATAATCCCAGCACTCTGGAGGCTGAGGCAGGAGGATCACCTCAAGTCTGAGGCCAGCCTACTAGGACCTACAAAAAAACAGCATCTGCACTGAACATATACAAACCTTTTTTATTTTCCAGAGCCACACACCTGTAACCCCAGCTACTAGGGAGGCTGGCGCAAGAGGATCACAAGTTTGAGGCCAGCCTGGGCAATTTAGTGAGACTCTGTCTCAGCATAAAATAAAAAAGGACTGGGAGGACCGGGGATACAGCTCAGTGGCACAGTGCTTGCCTGGCAAGTGCAAGGTCCTGAGTTCAATTCCAGATACAAAAGAAAAGGCCTGGGAATGTAGCTCCGTGGTTCTTGTGTGGCATACATGAGGTCTTAGGCTCAATCCACAGCACACCAAAAGAAAAAAATTTTGATTTACCAAAAACCAAACCAAACAAACAAACCCAAGACACATGTGGTAGCACAGGCCTAAAATCCTAGCACTCAGGAGGCTGAGGCAGGAGGATTGTGAGTTTGAGGAAAGCCTTGGCTACACAGTGAGATTCTGTCTTAAACAAAAAAAAAAGTGAGACTGAAAGCCAGTCACAGAGGAAGTCGAACACCAAACCTCCCAATAGAAGGACGTGGCTCTCCGTAAGTGGAGACTGTCTAGAAATGCTGCCACCAGGCAATTCATTCAAGGTTTAAACACGCAAGAAGATGGAGTTTTTTACAGTGTAAACATCGCGAGTTCAGATCTCTGTTAAAAACTTGCTTTTGCAACTTTTTCGCTTGTTTGACTCTGCTTGTTTGGTTGCTTGTTTTACAGTACTTGAGACTGAACCAGACCCTCTGCACTAAGCTACACCCACACACCTTTTTTTGGATTTTTAAAGTTTGACATAGGGTCTTGGAAAGTCACTAAAAGCTGTCCAGGCTGGGCTCAAACTTTCAATCTTCCTGCCTCAGCCTCCCAGAGAACCTGGAGCACAGGCATGGGCTACCACACCCAGCATGACTGGCGTTTGTTTACCTTCTCCCTTGCTCTTTTTTTCCTTCAGATTTTATTGGTACACTTTAGATATCCATAAGGACTGCATACACTGCGGGGAATTTGAAGGTGTACACCTTATAACTTCATTCTTTTTTCTCCACTCCATTACCCTCCCTTCACCCCCTCCCCATTTACAAAAGCCTTGTGTTCACTTTTCCCCGTCTCTCCGTTCCCGGTCCCTTGCTCTCCACCTCACTCCCTTCACAGTGACCCACCCTGCAGGTTGGAGGTGTTAGTCAGCTTCCCCCAACAGGACAGAGCCCTGCCACCCGGCACAGAGGCCAGGCTAGCCAAGTCCGGCAGCGCGCTCCTGCTGTTCCACCACTCGGGGAGGCTGCAGCTGCTGGAGGAGGAACGCAAGCTTGACCCCAGCTGGATAACTTAGCAACGCCCCAATTTAAAAAAATCTTTTAATTAAAAAAAAGGGGACGAGAGGTTTACTTGGCTCAGTTTCAGATGGTCAGTGGGCTCCAGGGCAGAAATAGCATGGTGGAAGGCCTGGCAAGAACAGCTGCTCAGCCCGGCTCTGCCCTGCCTCCCAACAGCACATTCAGCTGGGACTTCAGAGGAGGAATCCCTCCAGGGGCAGAGCACCCCACGACCCAGGCACCTTCCAAAGCCCCAGCTCGGGACACATGAGACTCTGGGGGCCATTTTAGATCTAAACCATAACAGCCAACATGAAAAGGGTCTCCTGGGGAACAGATTTTAAACTGGCTCTATCAACACTGACACATAAGAAGAGCTTCCCAAGTATCTGCTCGACAAATCAAAGTAGACGTGCTGACAGCGTGGAGGTAAACCAAGGCAGGAGGACTGCAAGTCTGAGTCTCACCTGAGCAAGGAAATGAGTTTGTCTCAAAATTTAAAAAAAAAAAAAGAAGCAAGGGCTAGGGATGCAGATCAGTGGCATAGCAGCCCTGGGTTTTGAACCCCAGTAACTGGGTCCAGGCCCTAAAACAATTCTGCCTTCTACCACCAGGAGTAACCCAGCTAGCTTGAATCAGTAGCTGTTGGTGGTAACTGAAAAAGTATGAAATTAATGAATACCAATTTTCACTTTAATACAGGGACAGTAAATATATATCAATAACAGCAGCCATCATGTGTTTAATTTTTATGTGGTGCTAGAATGTTGAAAACGCTAAGTACAGCACATGCTGCACCACTGCGCTGCATCCAACCTCCATCACGCTTATAAAGAGGTTGATTTGTGTTTACTACTCACCAATTCCCTTAAATACATAAACTCAGCTTAAATGACACGTTTAGGTTTCCTCTGTTTTCTCTGCATGTCTTAAGAGCTAGTGTCAGGTGTCCTGAGGTTCCTCCTGCTGTGACAGCTTCTCACATTTCACCACTTTGATCACAGAACTGGCTGGAATCTTGGTCTCTGTAAGATGCTCCCCAGTTCAGGTCTGTACGGTCTGTCACGTCTTCCTCAGGGTCACACTGGATGGTGGGAGTTGGGGGGCTGTCACAGAGATGAAGTGACCTTCTCACAGCATTTCACGAAGGCCCCGTGAGTCATTTCTGAGTCACACACACACTTCACCCAGTCCTGAGGCCTGTCAAAGTGACAGGCGCCCCCCCAACGCTGCTGTTACTAGAAGTGTGTGCCCCGTGTGTGTTTGTCTTGCAGACAGACACTTGTGCACCCTTGGGAAGTCGCACTAGGCTTTATTTAGGTTTTATATGCAGACGGCGACGCTTGCGCTTTGAAGTTAACTTCTTTACATAAACATCCATGGTGTAACGTCTTCCCTCGCGATTGCTGGGTCCTTCACCCCTTTTCGGAAGGCGCTGCGGGCTCAGCCCCCACCGGGGCAGGGAACGCTTCGCCTGCCTTCTGGAATCGGCACCCCTACACGGGTTTACTTCCCGTCAGACGCGGACCCGGCGGCCGGCTCCTCTCCGGAGCGCCTGCTGCGGCCTCGGGATGCCGACCGCCGCCGTGGGCTCTCCAGTCCGCCGCAGCAGCGCCCACTCCCGCCCCGGAGCCGCCGCCCCGCCGGCCGGGGTCCGCGCCCTCGCGACCCTCCGGGCCGGCCGCCCGGGAGGAGCCGGCGGGGCCACCGTGGGGTTTGTTACCCGCGCCTCGAGTGCTCTTCAGCCTCAGGACGGTTCGGGTCTAAACCAGAACCACCGGAACCGCCTCCGATCCGGAACCCGGGCGCAGAGGCCGCGGGCTAGAGGGGGCTCCCCGCGCCGCCCTCGGCCTGGTCCCGGCCCGGCCGCGGACCGGTGCGCACGGGTGCGGACGGGTGCGGACGGGGCCGGGGTGCCGACTGTGGTAAGGTGAGGACGGGGTGCGGACGGGGCGCGGGATGCCGACTGCGGACGGGTTCAGACGGGGCCGGGTGCGGACGGGGTGCGGACCGGGCCAGATGCGGACGGGGTGCGGACGGGGCGCGGGATGCCGACTGCGGACGGAGTGCGGACCGGGCCAGATGCGGACAGGGTGCGGACGGGGTGCGGACGGGTTCAGACGGGGCCGGGTGCGGACGGGGTGCGGACGGGTTCAGACGGGGCCGGGTGCGGACGGGGTGCGGAC